TTTCTGTGGTTTAGTAAGTATATGAAATATTTTTTTTAATGAAAAGTTTGTGAAAATGGTATGGTTGAGTATAGCGACCCTTTTTTAATAAAACAACATTTAAAATTATGGATTTTTATTACTCTTTTATTAAAAGTTTCGATGAAGCCAGTGAGCTTGCTTGATTTCATGAAGAATATCAAGTGTAAACATCTCTTAATGCTCTCCAACTAGGTTTTTAAGACTCTGTATAGTTTTAGCAGTTGCGTGTATTAATCTGGTAGCACTACAGTAGCACTACAGCACCAACGGTCGTGTGGTATAGATAGCTATAACGAGGCTCTGACTTCGTAATTAATCATATGGCTGCTTTTCGTGAGCAAATGTAAATATCAATACCTTTTTTATGAATATGAAAAGTGAGATCAAATTTTTTGCCAAAAGTTGAATAAGTAGCAGAAGACGGAAGACCCTACACTCTATCATTTTCTGGACCTTTAAGGAGATTTTAACTATTTCAAAACCATTTTTTTTAATACTTTTTTGGATCAACCAATAAAAAAAAGAACGCTTAAACTGTATAATGTAGAAGAAGATCGACCACTTCCTAGACAATTTCAGATGACTGGCTCCATGTTTGATGATTACTGTTTTGTTTTATGGTTTTAGAACTTGGCAAAGACTTTCTTAAGCAATTAAATTAGGTTGGTATTGGTTATTGAGCGGAATCGAACTGGTCGTGGTCGTGTAAATAAAAAACAGTGGTTTTTAAAAGTATACATATGTATCTATGAAAAGCTACAACTATATAACTAATTAGTTTGGAAAACTAAAATTTGAGTATAAGAAAAAACCGTTTCAAAATTTTAATTATAAAAAATGTATGAGACAAAGCAACAAAGATATGGGCATCAAACTAAAGCGATTAAGGAAAGCTATCAATTGAAAATATGTTGTGCGGTGAGTTGCCACCTGCTTAATTTTTTTAAATAAATAATTGATGATATTATATGAAATATGGGTCTCAACCTGAAGAGGCTTCAAGAACATTAAACTTAAAATCAAAAAAAAAATACTAATGTTGCCACATGTGTTATAATTTTTGAGTAAACAAAATTATAAGATATACATTATGGGCATTAAACTGGAGTAGGGTGAAGAAAGCTTACGCTTGGAAATATTTTTTGAGAAGAGTTACCACCTGTTAATAAAATGTAAGTAAAAAAAATATAAACTTGGGTGCCAAATTTAAGATGGGTTAGAAAAAAGCTTGGAGCTGAAATAATTTTTTTAAGAGAGTTGCCAACTGTTTCAAAAAATTAAGTAAAAATGTCAAAATAGATGGAAACATAATGATATGGGTACCAAACTAAAGAGATTTCAGACAACTTGCACTTGAAAATATTTTTGAGTAGAGTTACCAACTGTCTAAAAAGAATTAAGTAAAAAAGAATTTGTAAGGTGAAAAGATATGCCGATATGGGTATCAAACTAATGTTGTTTTAGAAAGCTTTTGGAAATATTTTTTTGAGTAGAGTTACCAACTGTCTAAAAAATTAAGATGAAAATGGTATAAGTTGAAAAATTTGCCGATATGCTTATCAAACTGATGTGGTTGCAGAAAGCTTCGAGTTAAAAATATTTTTTGAGTAGAGTTACCAACTGTTTAAAAAAACTTTAAGTAAAAATGCCAACATATGATATAAGGAAAAGCTAAGATATGGGTAACAAACTCAAAAAATTTCAAACAGCTTTAAGTTAAACAGTAATTAAATTGAAAAATAGTTATAAGTTGTTAGTACATTATGAGTTATGTAATTCATAAATAGTTATTTAAATATGATTAATAATAAAATTACAAATAAATTTGTTAATATTACATATGCTGAGTGTGTATGGAGATGTTCAGCGCAATCAACGCAAACGGCATGGACATAAGCCGATTTCCCCCAATATTGGGTATCAACATACCAGTTATCGGGTGTTTTCTAATTTTATTGCTATTTACTTTATAATCTCATATAAATATATTTACTTTCTGTTGCACAACAAATTTAACAGTAGGAATTCAAAATTGCTTAATATAGATTAGATGTGGTTGCGGTTCGAATTTTCATAGTATAGCATAGGCATGGATAGTAACGAACCTCTAAAGGTTTTTTTAAGAAAAGAAATTGGTTAAGTTCGGCTAAGTATTTTTTGAGATATGGTGTTAAAAGAAAAGTGGACTTATAGTGCTTTCAGAGGTATAGATATATGTTTTTAAATCCGTGAATCGGTTTAAAGACGGAAAGCCGACTTTTTACACATAGACCGAACTTAAGCTAAGATTAGTTAAAAATTTTTGTTCGAAACCACAAACACTTTGCCATTTTTCATTACATCTTACGTTGATATTTGACCTTTTATTATTAAAAAAAACAAGAAAAAACGTTAACTTCGGCTGCACCGAAGCTAAAACACCCTTCACAGTTGCATTTTTTATAACATAAAAAGGTATAAAAAGATCTTTATCTTTATTTTGATCGGTCAATTTGTATGGCAGCTATGTATATGGTATAGTGGTCTAATCCGAACAAACTATTCCGCGATTGTTTGATAATAATCTACGCCAAATTTCGTAAGACTATCTCGTTTAATAAAACAGTTTTCCATACAAGAACCTGACTTTCATCGAACAGTTTGTATGGCAGTTATATGCTATAGTGGTCAGGTCGGCTGTTTCGATAAATGCGCAGCTTCTTGGGGAAAAAAAGAGCATGTCCAATTTTTCAGATTGATATCTCAAAAACTGTGAGACTAATTTGCGAGAGGGAGATGTGGTTGGTTACCGGTTTTCCCGAGACTGCAATTCTTTTTTTTTTATAAAATCTAGGGAGTATTATACGTCGGTGAATTTTTAATACGTTAAATGGTGTCTGTGGTAAATTATTGTCTCAAATTTAGTTTACGAAAGTATAGCTATTGTTCGAGTAAACAACTATTATATAAAGCACTTCTGATACCCAGCTGCTGAATTCACATAGCAAAAAATGAGTTAATACGAAAAGAAAGGATGTTCATCGGTCCCCAACCTCGCCCAATATCGAATATATTGATTTCTTTTACAAATTACAAAAAATACATAATAAAATTTGCTAATACATATATACACATATACATATTTGTAAATTACTTAACAAAATATAACTTTTGAATCAACCAGAATTACGTCCCATTGCATCCTACTGACCTTTGATGTAATAAGAGAATCAAAGAAACAGATAAACTGATAAACAGTGTGCTGCAACCGGCCTTGCAATTATGCACTCATATATATTATATACAATGTAAGTATGCATGTGTGCGAGTAGAAAAGCCGCATTGTTCATGAACCGCTTGCATATCAGCTGCTGATGCAATTTCACACCTCCAAGCCACCCGCTGAACAAGTCAGGCGTGAAAACGGTGAAAAGGCTTCCACAGCCAATCGATAGCAGACAGACATCACACAATACTTGCAGTAAATGCATTTCTATTATTGTTGTTGTCGCTTGTTAGTTTTTGTTAGAACATTGTGCATAAGTACAGGAAAAGCTTTGCAACAATACAAGTACAATATATTGCAGCACATAATGCGAGTGGAGGTTATCGGTAACGAAATCAATTAACTTTTTTTGGGAAAAATTTTGAAGTGGTGAAATCTCGTCATATTTTGAAGCGAGGTTTATTTTTTCTTGACTTTTTGAATTAATTTTAAATTTTATTGAATTAAAGCACATAACGCAATTACAAAAAAACTGCATTCTGAGCAAACAAAAAATAAACGCTAAAGTGACGTCACAAAAGCCACTGATACTCAAGGTAAACCCATAATTTTACAGTACATAAAATCACAGTAAGGAGCTTAGAAACACAAATAAGCACCAAACACCGAGGTTGAGAACAGTTTTCGTAGGCACAAAAAACAAAAAAGGTTTGTCCGAACGTGAATTAGGGTAAAACCAAATACTTTATGGTAACAAGGGAAGAAACCGCCTACCAAATGATTGGTATGATGGTGAAATGGATTTTATTGGCAAAGAAGACGATTGAAAAGCGCAGTCTTTTCACTAAGAATGTGATAAAATTTGTCGAATGATTTGCTATATAATTCGTTTAGTTTTGTGTCGGATGAGACCTTTTTGTCATAGTTCAAACTTATTATAGTTTCTTGCGGCTTTCAAGCAGAATAAGAAACATAGTGCGACAGAAAATATATTTTTAATAGCTCAGTATAGTGTAGCAAACAAATTGGTTAGTTTAGATTTTCGGGATGAAGAAAAGAAAAATTCTAATTTTTTATTAGTTAAGACAGTTTAAAGCCACTCTAAAGCTGACTGATTTGAAAACATATCTACCATTCGACTGAGTTTTAAAGGGTTACATGGGTTGCACGGCTTCAAAACAGCAAAAAAAATTATATTTTTATTGTCTTATTCAATTCTATAACATCTCTATAATATTGTGCTAAACGTTCAAGTTGATCCCAGTAATAGTTTTGGAGATTTTTTGCGCGCTCGAGGTCCGCTATACACTTAAAACTTTAAACTACTCAAGCGATCTGAATGAAATTTTACACAGGTCTTTGAGATATAATTTACAAAGTCTTGCACGAAGGATTTTTTTCTTTCAATCACAACTATTTAAAACAAAAAAAAAAAAACTTCGGGAAATGTTCACCAAAATTTGCAAGTTTTTAAAAACGTCTGCCAAAAATACAATTGTTACTATATTTGTTTTTTCTCCATCTCCGTGCCTAGTTAATGGTCTTAGTTCAAACACGTATTTTTTTGCATTTTACTTTTGATGATCCTGTCAGAAATTCTGCTGTCAATGCGTAAGCAGCTTTTTTCCGAAGTACTGCCGGAAATGACGTCGTAACGACCGAGTTTTGAATATTTTAATTTGAAAATTTGACAAAATCTTTATCAAATATGTATCTTGGCAATAATAAAAAGTTTGAATAAAATACTTCACTTTTTATATGAAAAAAAATATATTGAAAATAGAGCGTTTTTTGTTCGTCGAAACCCATGTAACCCCTTAATACCAGCGTACATTTTTTGTAGCGGCTTAGAGGACCTAGACACTTATGGAGAAAACTAAAATGATTTTTTTCACATTTATAAAACAGTAACGGATCGGAATTACGACTAAGTCAAAGTATATAGTACTATAGACTCAGCAGTATTTCGGTATTTGCGTATAAATTTTAGACTCTTCTTCCAAACACAGCAAATAAAAATAAAAATTAAAGTTTTCTTTAATTTGAATTTAAAAATTGGTTGACCTAAGTCGCCAAAAATTTCAAAATGCATTCAACAGTCACAAAAATTATGTCAACTCACTCACTTGAGCAGAGAATTATTATTTTTTTGTTAAAAGGGTATTTGCATTACAAAAGCAACTCGGCAATTGGTTTATGTGCCAGGCATTAGACAATCGCATAAAACGGTGCGCTTGGCCTCGCTGCACTTTTAGTGCATTTTCAACATTCGACCAACGAGTACTTTGGCGCTGTGCGGAAAACGCGTTTATTCAAGCATTAAATTACAAACAAAATAGAAAGCGAGCCATATAATGCCCACAAAATCGGTGCACAAGTGGATGTCGGACGAAATGGCGCGTCTGTCAACGAAGCTCGCACGCTACAAGCCAAGCTGCAACGGTTACAACCGAATACAGCCGGTGCTGCTGTCGCGCAGCGTTACGCAGATGCTAAACAACCCATTGCCAGTGGAGGATCAAATCGGCAGCACCATAACAGCGGCGGCGAGTCAACAGCAGCCGCAACAGAAACAACAACCGCAAGGACACGGTCGCACCAAAGGTGTTTTGAGTCGCTCGGAAGCCGAATGGGAAGAGGTCTATCCGACAGTGCAGTTCGGCCGTAGTGAGCATTGTGAAGTCAATGGCAAGAAGGCGGAACGTAAATTCGCTTACTATCGCAATTGTTCGACAAGGATAATTTAGGAACGAGCAGCATATGCTGGATATGCATTTATATATATAATACATATGTATTTATGTATGTATGTGTGTAGTTAGAGCAATGCGTTTTTAGCACTGCCGCTTTTCATTGTATATGATCTTTGCTCTTTAATATTTAGTATTAGTTTTTGCAATGTAGAATTTTTGCAAAAAGAATTCATTTATAATTAAATGTTGAAAATTGCTGTGTTAATTATAAAAAAAAAATAAGAAAACAAATATAAAAAATAAAAGAAATTTCATAAGTTTAATATTATGAAATAAATAATAAAAATAGATATTAATATAAATACAATATTAAAAGTAGCTGCGAGCCTGTTGGGTTATGTTTTAACTTCGTGTTAGGTTTCCAAAAGGTATTTACAATATTTTGTTATTTGCACGCGGTTGTAGTTAGAGAATATGGGTAAAGACCTATTTTATTTTCCGCTGCTGTTTGAACTATCAACTCACATAAATACCGTATTATTTAGTATGGGTTTCTTTCTTTCGGTAAGGTAAAATTTTAGTTTTAGTCATTATAACACTGTACGGCCAAATCGACATTTTTTATATTGGTATTGGTTTAAACCAACTTTTTTTCGTGAAATAGGTTTCAATCTCAAGGTCAAAATCGGTCCAAATAGCAGCGGTCATTATATCTTATACTCCATGAAATGAGAGGAAAACATAGCTCGTGCCCATATATTTATTTTTTTAGGAACTAATATACTGTTTTGAATAATGATGTTTTCAATAAGCTTAATTTCGAAAGTTGAAGGCAAATATTTCGTTTTGGCGGTTAACAAAACGAAAAAAAAAACAAAAAAATTAATTTTAACTAGGATTCAATATCTCAAAAAAAAAAACATTGGTTGGTACAATACCCAGCCGAATATTATACGCTTTAATTATTGGTACATCAAATATGTTTTTTTTTTTTTTGAAAATCAAGGAAATTATAAACAGAATACAAAACAGACCCAACCAATTCAGCAATTATAATATTTGTTAAGTAAAAAAAAAAGATAGAAAGGAATATATAGGCAAAACAAGAAAACGCATTAACTTTCTCTGCACTAAAGCTATAATACACTTCACAGGTGCGTTTTTTTATAGCATTTAAGAGTATACAAATATCTTTAACTTGATTTTGAACGATCAGTTTGTATGGCAGCTATATGTTATAGTCGTGCGATCTGAACAATTTCTTTGGAGATTATAGAGTTACCTTAGGCAATAATCCATGCCAAATTTCGTGAAGATTTCTTGTCAAATAAAAAGAATTCCATACAAGAACTTGATTTTGATCGGTGAGTTTGTATGGCAGCTATATATTGTAGTTGTCGATATCCGGTGATTCCGCCAAACGAGGACCTTTTTGGTGAGAATAGGACGTTTGCAAAATTTCAGAACCATATCTCAAAACCCAAGGGTTTGCGGATATAAAAACGGGCAGATAGACAGACAGGCGGACAGACAAACCGTTCCCACGACAGTGGGGTCTACGTAACCGGAACGGACCCGGATTTATACCGGCCAGGGACTGTCAACTCGGCAGAATTCTGCAGCTACAACAACAACAACAACAGGCGGATATGTCTAAATCAACTCAGCTACTCACGCTGATCATTTATTTATATGTGTAGTATGTATGTTATAGGGTCTTCGATGTATAAATAATATTACATATGTATATACATTAGATATAAATAAATGATCAGATGATATATGCAGCACTGGTCTGGGTATAAAAATAATAGTCGATGATAGAAAATTTAGCTGAATTGTAATGTGATTATGGTAGCGGATCGCGTAAAATGCCGACTAAAAAGCAAAGGAATATTTGGAAAACCATTTACTTGCCCTTAAGAGAGGAAATCATTGCTAACTAGATCGAGCAAAATACAGATTTAAACTTTTCACAAAAGTTTTAGTCGAGAAAGCCGACAAACATAGCTTTTTATGAGAGTATATCTAGTAAGTATAGAATGAAACGGCGAAGAAATATGTCAAAAGATCTTTTTAGAAAAGTATTAGCTAATAAGTGTTGAAAAGCAAAAAAATTAAAAATATGTTAAAACTAATGAAAGTTGGGCCTTTAACTAAATTCGTTTTTTTTTAATTTTTCCATAAAAGAAATATTTTTTCTACATATGTATGTAAATACATCTGTCTATGTTGTGACTTAATAACATTTGAACAAGTATGTTTAGCTGTGTCAACTAGCCAAATGAAGTACTAAACCTCATTTTTTGTTGGGAAAAAGATGAAAGCCAGATAAATCTTACAGAAAATCACTAACAAAAGAAAGTGTGCTTAATATTTTTGAATTTTCCAAAATATTGAGATATATTGGTCAAATACTCTTATGAACTTAAGACTGTTCAATAAAGAACAACAAGTTTTTTCATATTTTCGAAAAAGGTGTACAGTCAAAAAATTTCAGTGTAGTGGGTGAAAATAGCTAAGTGAATAATAAAGAGAATTTTATACCATATAAAAATATATACCATAGTATATAAGACAGGCTTTCGAAATTTTCAATTCAAAAATTAAATTTTCATGTTTTAATCTCGATGTTGGTAAATACATATGTATCTAATTTTTAAACCAAGATGTGTGGGATTAAAATTTGAAAATTAAATTTTTTAATTTAAATGTGTAAGTTTACCGACCAGTGCTCTAGAGTATTGAAGATGATGGCTCTGTGCGAGTTCTAGTTTAAAATAGTAGAACATAAGGTAGGCACTTGAAAAAATTTTAATACCAGAACAATTTCTTTTTTAATACTTAATTACAAGTATACTCTTGATTTTAAAACTTTTCTTTTTATTTTAAAAACCGATAGTTGGGATTGAAAATTCAAAAAAAATATTTAATACGGTATGTGGAAGCCAAATACGGGATAAAAAAAATATAAAAAAATTAATTCAAATGCTAAATCAATTATTTTTTTAATGCATTATTTGCAACCCTGATAAATGGTATTTACGCTACCGAAAAGTCAAAACTCATATAGACGCATAAAAGCTGTTTTAAAGTTAATTTTAACGGAAGAGATACAAATAGGTAACTGTCGAAATAGAACGAATTGAGCACCATTCGGAACAAAACTCCGAATATTACTAAAACCGTAGTTGCAACTTATTGTTCTAAATTTGGAAAAAATCAACTAGGTAATGGCAAAATGAAACAAATTAATCAAAAATATGAAAAAAAGGTTTTTTAAAATAATTACTATTAAATAGAATATGGTATATACACATGTATAAAAGTGTAGAGAAAATCATGTTTGTACTTCAAAAAAACTGTAATTTCAAAATTTGAGAAATCTTAATGAAAAAATAGTTTTAATAGAGTAAGGGATATATGCTTATACAAAAAAATAAACTAAAAAAAATAAAAAAACAAGTATAATAAATAAATTATTAAAAATCTAAATAAATAAATTATTAAAAATATAAATAAATAAATTATTAAAAATAAATATATTAAGTAGACAAATAAAAAACTAATTCAAATAAATAAATTAATAAAAATAAACAAATTGATAAAAGTAAATAAAAGAAATAAATAAGAATTAATAAATAAAATTTTAATTTAACAAATCAGTTACAAATTTTTAAAAACCTTAGAAAATAGTGTCATTCTCTCAAGGGGTTACATGGGTTTCGTCAGGCAAAAAACGCCCTGTTTTCCATAATTTTTTTTTTCATATAAAAAATGAAATATTTTATGCAAACTTTTTATTATTGCGAAGATACATATTTGAGAAAGATTTTGTGAAATTTTTAAAGGAAAATATTCAAAACTCTGTCATTACAACGTCATTTCCGGCAGTTCCTCGGAAAAAAGCTGTTTAGGCGTTGACAGCGAAATTTCTGACAGGATCATCAAAAATAAAAAAGAAAAAAATACGTATTTGAACTAAGACCATTAACTAGGTATTGAAGGGAGAAAAAACAAATAAATTGGAAAAAAATTTTTCTTTTGAAGCCATGAAACCCGTGTAACCACTTAAGACAGCTATCTACAAGACATGCGCCTGCAGTTACATTGCTCTTTTTTAACTATGAATAATGGGTATTCGTTTCAAGTAATTCAGTTAAAATATTACATTTTATTTCGTAAACACATTTGGAAAATATTGGTAATTAATATTGTGCAATATGCGTAAGTAACAAGTATATTTGAGCTGGGTGCGTTCGAAAAAAAGGCACGTGTTAAATAAACTAAAAAAACATTTGCGTTTAAAACAATTTTTGGAACAAATTCGAATCTTAAGAAACGTTCCGCAAATACTAAACGTATCAAGTCAATTACACATAATCTCAAAGTTTTTGTTTAACAAAGAGTTTTGTATAATTTAATAATTACTAGAAGAAAAAGGCATTACTCTTACTAAACTCATATACGAAGAGAGCACAATTAACGAGAGATTTGCTAACGAGTTGAATTAGAAACCAGTTGAGCTATACGCAACAAGTGTTTGGGGTTGCAAAATTGTCGCGCAAGGTGGGTAAATTCACGATTTCAAAACTAATATGGACTAAATGTGCTAAATAAGCATATACCATATACACTTACGTATGTATATATATATAACTAATTGTAAATATGCAGATTAATGTATACTTATTGCGATTAAAGATTGTTCATAACTTTGGCAAGCGTGGGGAAATCCAACTACGATTTTGCTTTGTTGTTATTGCTTTAAGAAACATGACACGTCTCATCATGCAAATGATCCGTGCCATTCGAGAAGCCATTCTCATCGAGTGTAGATAAAGCGCCACCTTGCAGCACTTTGTTGACAGCGGCGCGCGCCAAATAGCCGGTGGTTTCGGTATAAATGAGTGCATAGAAAGCTTGCATGTTGTTGTCATTCTGACGCTCGATGTTGTTGTCCTGCAAAAGAAAATGCAATTTTTTTATTAATATTATTGTAAAATTGTATAGAGTTGGGTGCAAAAATACCTTGCAATACATGCCGAACGCCTCGCTGATTATGTCATCAATATCAAGCGCTTGCTTGAAATGCAACTCGGGATTGCTGTGGTGTTAGGAAAATAACGGTAAATATTTGTTACTATCACACATACTTTGTAATTTACACACCGATTCAATATTGTGGCGATGATGCATAAGAGTTCTACAGTGATTTGACGCCTTTCCGGACAGTCTATACACATTAAAGTCTCTTCCACCAACAATGAGAAAGTGATCTCACCACGACTCATATTCACAAGTGTTGGTACGGTGGGCAACAGATGACCTTGTGTGGTAATACCTTGTGTGCGTTGCAGAATTTCCCAGATTTTATTGTAGAAATGTTTTGGTACGCGGCAGAGGCAACCCTCCAATTGGCGGCGTTGCAAGGTGGTGAGTCTGAAATGTGATTTATTTTGGAAATTAGTAATTTAAATGTGTCACTGAGCATTTTTGAAAACATAATTATATATACACACAAGATCAAATTTGACCCGGACTGGGCTATAAGTGTAAGCTGACATTTCAAACGAACATAAAAAAGGTTTTACCAATCTAGGAAACAATATTTCATGAAATCAGCTTCCGCGCGCATAGTTTATGTACGGTAGAGCTGTTCGGGTCAAATTTGATCTTGAGTTTATATGGATGTTAGAACTGTTAGAGATCCTTATCATTACACTTACTTTTCCTCTACAGCCCATTCGCTAACAGTCAACACCTTTTGCAAGAGTATACGCACTTGATAGGGAGAAAGGTTTTCCAAATCAATCGATTCCTGGCCAGACATCTGCAAGTAAAGACGCATAGCTTCCAAAACCCAACCGACGCGTATCTAAAAAATGTTAAAATAATAATAATACAATGAAATGCAAATATAATACATAAAGTTCAACAACAACAATAACCGTGCAACAATGCTCACCTTCAATATGCCCCTAAACATGGATGGGTTTGTGGCAATCAAACGTCCACAATACAGTACAACCTCTTGCTGCAACACCGCCTGTATCACATTGTATGGCTGCACTGTCGTGTACATGACATTCTGTATCTCCGCCGGTGTCATCGGTTTATCGAAGTTCGTCTCCTTTTGCCCTATGACACCAACAGTCAACTCCTTGCCATTGACCAGCACCGTGGTGATGAACGGACTGATTGAATCGACTATGTGATGGAGGAGAGAGGAACAGTAACGCACCGCGCGCCAGTAACGCAACGAACCGGCACGATGATAGAGTTGTGTGAGCGCTTGATTGACGCTCAGGCCATTGACTTCGAAATTGGGGCCCTCACGCTCCAATAAAATGCCCCACAATTGACAGAGACAATAAATGGACTCGGTACTGCGCATGCTGTCAATGATTTCATGTGTGGGTCTGTTTTTAAAGTGCTGGAGAAGTACGAAAAAAATTATGAAATAAATTTTCGTAAATAAAAATTTTTATGTAGACAGTTAGAATTACTCACATCTAGCGAAATTTTCTGCTCAACATAGGACAGCGCCTTCGGCACGTCGGTCAACGACTGATAGCCAATGTACTCATGATTGATTTGCACAAAAGCGTTTTCATTGTCCGGCAAATTGCTTTGGTTCATAAAGTCAAGATGTTCTGCAATAAAAAATAACAGTATTTAAATATTGTTCGAAAAATTTTGGATTATAACCACTCACCAATGCATGAGCTGCTTATCAAATTCTGCAGACGTCCGATGCGCACCTTCATGCCATCGCAGTAGCCCTTCTTTAGCATAGCCAACAAGTTGAGCATTTCTTTGAATTGCGGATCACGCATATGCTCCTCGCGTATCAGCAGACACACTGTCGGACGTCCAGAGAGACGCCAGTATTTGCCGACGAATTGTAACTCGGTTTTAATATCGTCAATCAGTAGCGCCATGTCACGATACAAATAGAAATCGGACACCTCAAAAATGAGTGGATAACAAAGTACAGTCATGCCGCAGATGCGATACACTTTGCTCGTGCCTAAGGAGCCGACTGGTCGGCCCGGACGACCGGTTAGGCCAACTTTATTGTTTACACCCAAATGTTGATACACTTTAATCAATTCGGTGGAAGACCAAATTTGCACGGGTTCAACCTGAGCGGAGACAAAGATATTTAAATTGATAATGCAAAACTAAAAATCAATAAAAATCATTTAACATATGTAAGGTTAGAAATCTTTAGAAAACAAGAACAAAAAATAAACAATATGAAACGTTCATCTCGGCTGCATCATAGCTATTGTATCCTTCATGTGTGCCTCTCTTATATCGTAAAGGAGTATGAAAAGAGCAGAGACAGTTTGCATAGCAGCTATATGCTATAGTGGTTCAATCTTAATAATATGTTCGGAGATTTCAACATTGGCTTGGACATATATCTATGCATAAATTCGTGAAAACAATTTTTCAAATAAAAAGGTTTTTCATACAAGAACTTGATTTTGAGCAATTAGTTTGTATGACAGCTATATGCTATAGTGGTCCGATCTTAACAATATGTGCGGGGATTTTAACATTGCCTTGGACAATAATCGATGACAAATTTCGTGAAGATATCTCATCAAATAAAAAAGTTTTCCATACAAGAACTTAATTTCGATCGTTCAGTTTGTATGGCAGCTATATGCTATAGTTGTCCAATCTGAACAATATCCTCGGATGTTGTAGGGTTGTTATAGCCAATTATCCATGTAAACTTTGGTGGCAATATCTCGTCAAATCAGTTTTTCATACAAGGACTTGATTTTGATTGATTCGTTTGCATGGCAGCTATATGCTATAGTGGTCCGATGACGACATTTCGGACAAATGAGCAACTTTTTTGGGAAGAAAAGAACGTACGAAAAAATTTCCGACCGATATCTCAAAAGCTGTAGGACAGCACGTCACTCTGTTCAGTTCTATCTGGGTGTTACAAAATTCGTGGCAAACTTACTACATACTATTAAGGGTATAAAAAGTTGAAATCAAACATATTGGAGACTCAAAAAGGAACATCGACAAATTTAAACTTTAATTTATACATAATTTCGAATTTCGAAAACTTACCTCATGCGGTGTTTGCGTTTGTATGCCATAAGTTGCCATCATTGCTTGCAAGCGTTGCGATTCCGCAATTAAGACAATCTGCACAACCAAATCGGTGGCGGTGCCCTGGAGATTGGCAACGATGAAAGAAGAAATTATAATTTAATAAAATAAAAATCTTAATTTCTATGAAACTGTGCTCAAATTGAACTCGAATTAAATTGAAAAGAAAAAACGTATGCAAAATTTACTGTTAAATGCAATTACAGTTATAATTGTTGTAAGTTCAGTAGTAATGACACAACTACGCAGCAACGAAGTTGACATAAAAAATGTTTAGTTAAGGAATAAATTATTTGAAATATCAAAATATAAGAAATGATCAAACATTTGCGCATTAACGACATGCAAGTAGAGAAAACACACAAACAAAATAATTAGGTTATTTAATATCGAAAGTTATTAAATACATTTTGAATTTTAATTATTATGCAAAACATGCTTATTTCGTTTCCAAATCAATTCGAAAGGGAATTAAAGTCAATAAATATTTTTTTTAAAACAACAAACTAAAATCAGCGTACCCGGAAAAAGCGTGTTATTAACGGAACTGTCTTAAACCAACTGAGATGTCTAGCAGCTTTGTTTCCAATCTACAAGCTATAACTATACATTTGAGGTTAGCTTAATGCTTAATGCATTTTGTATCGCGTCGAAAGAAGTTCCCGAAAATATTTGAAAAAATTTAAAATTTTTTGGCAGCGACTATAAATATATTGCGCTCATCTAATATTGCTTTGAAAACTATTTTTTCGAAATCGAATATATTATATTATAGGTATTTATATTTGAAAATCTTAAGAAAAAATTAAAATCTAAAGCTCTTCTCAATTTTATATTTTCTTTATAAATCATATCCTAAATTTATAACCTCAAAATTATTTTTAAAATTTTTTGGAAACTATTATCTTTATAAATCATACCCTGAACTTTTTTTTCCAATTTTATTTTATTTTTTTTTTTGGAAATTCCGATCATATAATATATAATACAACTTAAAATTTTTTTTTAAATTTATGAATCATACACTAAATTTATAACCTCAAAATTTTATTTTTTTTTTGAAAAGCCGACCTATTTTTTACTATCTCTATAAATCTTACCTTGAATCTCAATTTTTAAAAAATTTTTTTTTTAATTTTTTTTTAAATTTTTGTTTTTAATTTTTTTTTTAATTTTTTTTAAATAATTTTTAAATTTGAAAAAAAAATTTTTTTTTTTTAATTTATGAATCATAACCTGAATTTATAACCTAAACATGAGATGATCTATGTAAATATTTTTTACTATCTTTATAAATCGTGCCCTGAATTTATAATCTCAATTGTTTTTAAAACTTATTTTTTTTTTTTGTTATTTTCTTTATAAATCAAACCTTGAATGCATAATCTAATTTTTTTTTTTGGAGAACCCAATCATATTATAACCTAAAATTTTTTTTTAATTTATGAGTCGTACCCTAAATTTATAACCTCAATTTAAAAAAAAAATTTTTTTTTGTTAGAAAACCAGAACTATTTTATATTATATTTTGGCAATTTTCGAAAAATTTTATATTTTCTTTATAAATCATACCCGGAAATAATAACCTAAAATTTTTTCAAATTTATTAATTACACCCGGAAATAATAATCTAAAATTTTTTAAATTTTATGGTTTTTTTTTTTTGTGGAAATCAATATATTTTATATTTTTTTTATAAATCCTATCCTAAATTTATAACTACAAAATTTTTCGAATTTTTTGAAAACCGGATTATTACCAATAAATCGCTCTAATGTTAAAAAAAATATAATTTATGTCAGTTTATTGACTTCAAATAGGGAAGGAAGTGACTGCCAATTCTTAAAGTATAATAACAACAATGGTACGTTTTTGAACATTACAACGCAGTTTTAAAACGATTGCATAGAAATAATCCAAAAAGAAATACTAAAGTGCGTTAAGTATTTATTAAGTACAGTGAGTAAATGCAAAGAATTTATGTAAATGTGTAGCAACATTACCTCTTTGACATCCAGTATTAAGGGTACACGCGGTGTCTAGTCACATACGAATTATTTTTATAGGTTAGTAAGTTATTAAATAGTGGTTTTTCAACACTAAAGTTAGTTACAAATAAAAACGCTGGTGTTAATACTAAAATGCTAGTAAATAAATTTATAAGAAAGTTAGTTTATATTTCGCAGCTAAGTCGCTGCGAAATTTTCAGAAATTACAATTTTTTTAACTACAATGTAGGTATATGTATGTATGTGTGTATGTACAGGTATGTGATGTTCGCTGTCAGTACATGTTTGTATGTATTGCATTTCTAAAAAAAAGAAACGCAAATAAAATGATTTATTAAAAGGCAGTGTTATTAATATTGCAACTTTGTTAACTAAAAAATAAACCACAAAACTTTTTGAACAAAACATATACAAACAAAAGTAAGCCACGCAAGGATCCAAGGAAAACTTTTTGGATTTTATTTTTCGATTTGTTTTTTTTTTTCTTTTGCTCTGTTTTTGTTACTTACAGTGCCCGGTTTGGCCTAAGTGGGGATGAGAAAGTAAAAAAAAAACATAGTTTTGTAGATAGAAAATTATATGTAAGTAGATTTAAACTAAAATGCGCTAGGAAAAGGTAGTAGAGTATAAAATTTTGTTGTCTGTTTGTAAAAGTATTTTAAGTTTTTTTTTTTTGTTTTTGTAATAAGTTTTGTTTTCTGTCGCCAAGTGTGTAAAATTAGTAGAGAGAGCACAAAAGCTGTACAATTTAGTTGTTTTTGTTTTTGCTTTTGTTAATTTACACAATTTCGGCAGAGACGTGTCACAATAGCACCAAGAATAAAAATATTTGTACAAAGAGGGGACAAACATACTTTTATATGTGTATGTGCGTGTGTGTATAAGTTGTTCAGGAAGCAGAGACCTATGCTAAATTCGAAATATTTATTTTAAAAAAATTGTGCAAATGCTGCTTACATACACATATATGCATATAATTATTAACAATGAAGACAATTGCAAAAGTGAACGACTTTTGATTGAAAAGACATGCCAACATGGGTAAAATATTATCGCCATTGGACAAAACTGGTGTTTTAAGATTTTTTGTTTGTAAAAATACATTTAAAACTTTATTAAAATAATATTATAAATAGTGTTGTAAATATTAAAAAATTTATAAGATTATGGAAGATTAAACTCATTTTTGGCAACAACATGTACATATATAATATATATATATGATATATACTTGTATAAGCATCAGGGTTGCGAATTTTTTAATTAAAAAAATCTCAAAATCGAAATTAAAAACTGAAAATATAATTCTTTAGTACAAAACTTGGAAATAAAAATTTTTAATTTTATTCTTTAGTCCGAAATCGGAATTAAAAATTGAAAACTTAATTTTTAATCCCAAAATCAGATTAAAATAATTTTTTAAAAACAAAAAATTGGAGTAACAAATAAAAACCTAATTTTCAAAAGCGGAAATGAAACGATAAAAAAGAAAGATTTACATATTTCTAATTGAAAAACTATAGTTCAGAATAAATAATACAAAAAGTGCTTAGCTATGTTGATATTTTTTTATAATTAAGCTTTCCTTTTCAAAGATAAAAAAGTGGTTGAACACGAAGTACGCAAGCGCGAAATAATTTTAAATTCAAAATCGCGACTTTTTGAATGTTGAATTATAAATTTGGGACTAACATTTTTTAATTTAATTTACATTCTGCTGTTTAAAAATAAACTTGTAATTTTTTATTATTGATTAAAATTTTATGTTTAATTTTTCTCTCCGGTATTTGAGATTAGAAATTTGAAAAATATTTTCAATTAAGAATTTCAGGTTTATAAACTAAAATTAAAGTTTATTTTATGTCTTTTCAAAGCATTATTTGCAACCGTGAGACATATACGTATGTATGTAAGCATATTTGCAAATCTATTTACTAAAAATTAATACCAAAAGTTTTGTTGAAAAAAAGAAAAAAAAAAAAGAAGAAACTGACTGAAAAAATATAAAGCTAGCAGTGCCGCCAGCGCAGAATTTCGAGTGCACAATTTTCTTTCACAAAACACTAATCATATATCATACTCAAGGCTTCTTAATAAAAATGTTTAAAAAAATTTTGAAAATATTTCTATACCGTTAAAGCAGCAAACATGCTTAAGAGGTTATAACCACATGGGAATTTCAAAAAAAAATTTCAAAAAATCGAATTTGGTTTTTGTATATATCGTACAAGTATTTATATAATATATATTTGCAAATATTATCCGAAAATTTGAAGTTGATTCGGCAAAAGGTTTCGGAGTTAAGAGCGTATTTGTAAACCTTTTTTAGCTTATGTGTGGTATAATCACAAAACTTTAAATGGCTTTTGCGCGAAACACTGTTTTCAGCGTCGGTGAGGAATATCTCTCGGAAATGGCTGGTCCGATAAGCTTGAAATTTTCACACGAACTTCTTAGATATATTTGTCAGGTAATGATTGAAATCATACAATTTTTGTTAATATGTAATTTCGATTTTTTAAGCCACTCTAAAGTGTCAATTTTTCACAAAAAACGACTTTTTTTGGAAGCCGCCATTTTTTCAAAAATCAAAAATTCTTCGCTCTTAAGTTGTATTCATCTATAGTAAATATAATTTTTTTTTGTTTTTGGGTTTTAAATAATTTTAAGCAGAAAAATCTTGCTCAACGATAGACAGCTTTTTTCGGAGGTCCTACTGGAAATCGGCTACGGAATTAAGGGAATGCAAAATTTGTCAAAATTAATCGCCGATTATTGCAGTATATTAAATTCTGTAATTGTACAGAAAAAAAATTCTTTTCAGTAAAAGAAAAACATAACAAAAAAAAAGCGTTTTTCTGTCCTGCAGCTGGATATAACCCCTTAACACAAGCACGCCCATTACAATTCTGACTTGAGTATGCAAAAGCTAGGCACAATTGTCAAGCGTGTTGCAACAGAATATAAAGGTAATGTGGGTTTAAAAATTAATTATCTATTTGTAGCAAAAGACGTGAAATAAGTGCAACTAATGCAACAAAAACTATTTTATACAAAAGTGCATGGTCGTAGAGTAAGCAGGAGAAAAAACTGTGATTTTACATTCGTACATTATTATAGGTAATTATATGTAAATCAATACGAGCACAATGTGGTTGATTCAAAATAATACAGTGTGCAGTGTATGGCTACTACTTTTTACAAAAGTAAAAAAAAAAGTTAGAAAACTAGACTTTTTTCCATGTACAAGATTTCGACTTACGGCATGTTTGTCATCGGTGGCTTTTCCCTGCCATTATGTACGTGTATTATGTAACCAATTTACATGTTATTTAGGATATTGTAAAGGATTTGTAAGGAATATCACAAAAACATATAAAAAATATATAGAACAGCCAATTGTATTATTAAATATATATATATACGTATTAAATAGTTTCAAATTGTTTTGTTTGAATGTTGGTTAAATTCAAACAAATATTGGTCAGTAATATTTCTGCTTTTAAACGAATTATTTTCATTAATAAAATTGTTTAACAACTATGTTTGTTTATCTGTAAAAAGCGTAACCTAGCAATTGTAATAATTCGGGTAAGTGTTAATGAAGCCTATGTCAAGTTAGAACTAAAAAAACATACCTGAAATGCTGAGTAACGACCACCGCGTCGTGGGCGATTGTAGCTCGGCAGATAACGGCGTATTGGATCTAATTCATTGATGTGTAGTAGACCAGCGGTTAGTAGCTGCGCAATAATAAACATTGATTGTCCCCAAAGGAAAAGCGTTTGCGAGGGCGAGCGTACATAGGAACCCTCACCGTCTGGCGCATAATACATGGTGACCACTGGATCACCATTGACATCGGTATGCAAGCAATTGCGCAATTCATTTTGATATTCTTCGATTTGCTCCGAGTTGCTCTTGAAGACGCCATCAATGATCATTTCAATATAAAACAGTGGCCATTCACATTCGTGACCTTCGAAATCTTTCAGTTCGCCGTTGTGATAGTAACTGAAAAAAACAAAAACATATTTATAAATAAATTATTTAATGTTTTTGTTAGCAAACAAAGCGTTTTCGAACCGTCTATCTTTTTCTTCAAGTTTGCTAAGAAAACCATCACGACTGAAACGCTTGAAGCCACGCTTGCCACGCAAACGCGTAATGACATTATGCTTGGTTTGCTCCACTAAGCGTTCCTCGTGCGATGCAAAGGCGGGAAATGATAATGTCAACAGCAGTGAAGAGTCAACACCCTGTAATGTAGACAAAAAAGATTTTAGTATTGAAAATTTATATACTACAATTATGTAGATACCTTAGAGCTGGATTCTCTTGGCAGCATTGTCTCAAAAATACTGCGATTACGATTGTGCGCATCAATGTCCACATAAACTACGCTCCACGAAGCGCCCTTCTCGCCAAACAGATTACAACCGTTAATAGCTTCCAAAGCGGATTTAGCCATGCCTAAAAAATTCAAAATTTTTATTTTTTTTTTTGTTTTTTGTTGTTTTTGATAATAGCAGCATATTAATTACCTATAGATGAAGCATGTATTTCTGGTGTGCCATTATTGTACTTGGAACCACGCTCCCACATGCCAAAATCGGGTGTGCGATAGGAGCGTTCAACATAATAAACCAAATTCTGCACAAAAGCAACCTCATCCTGTAGAATAAAGATGAAAAAAGTACAGTTTTTAGCAGATATTTTTACTTTTACTAATTTTTCACTACTAATTGCTATTTCACTCACCTGCGTGTAGATAATTTGCAAACCCGATGTGATCATTTGCACCAAAAATATTATATACAAAGATACCAAATCGATTTGCAAATGATTGTAGGCATCATCGGCGTAAATTTCTTCACCAGTATGCAAATGAAATTTACTATGCAAAGCATATTGATTGGATTGACGCTGTTTGAAAACTTCCACACGACGTGCCTGTTTCACCCAACATTCTAGAATGCCGCGCATGCACTTCACAGTCGATTGACCCAATTCATAGGATTTGCCGCGGTCATCATCAATACGACGATATGCTTGATATAAACTCCACACAGCTGCTGCGCAGTAAACACTATCACGCACTGAGCCCACTTCATGATCCGTACTCATAACCGGAAATAGACCAGTTATGGGACTTTGGAAGCGCAATAATTGTCGTTTGACTGTGAAGAGTAAATAATATTTTAAATAATTGCAATAGTGTACCAGTTTAGTTAGAAATGCCAATATCATATATTGTTTGCATGTAAACAGATGCTCCAGTAAACACTAGCAGCTGGCGCATTCAAACACACGCCTACGAAAGGTCGTTGGCTTAGTATAATTAATGCGTTGTACTATAAATTTAAAGCCGGCGTTTGACAACAAATATAAGTGTAAACAAAAAAATACAACACGAATACTTTGCAAGATTAAGCAGCAGTAATACATAAACAAGCACCGGCCTATCAACTGCACATACATACATATGGATTTATATGCACAAGTACATATGTATATGTATATGTGATCAAGCTGCTACATGTAAACAAATCAACAAGTCTTAAGAGACGGATGGGAGAGCGGTGTAAATTGCATCCAACAATTGTATAAAAATAGCTAATTGACAATCAGCGCCGCATGCTAGCATGCAGCGGTCGCTATGCGACAAATTGTCTAAGAAATTATATAACTTAAGTAATTAACAATCAAAAGCGCATTCAATTGATTTGTTTGTTCAAATTTAAATCAACTACTTACCAATGCCATAGTATATGTCTAATTGTTTCACTGTATCTTCATAGTTAGATGTTTTGAGGAACTGATCTAAATGTATGTCTTCAAGGCTAGCCTGTCTTCCAGTGGAGGATGGTGCTCCTGATGGCACTGTACTACCAGGTGTGGGCACCGTAATGCTGAGTCTGTAAGAAATAATATATTGCTCCAATATAACATATTTTTTCTTCAAAAGATTTGTGCTAAACGTACGTTTTTGGTAGTTCACGCATTTTATCTGCGTGTTTTTATGTTTTAATACACTTTATTTTACTTTGATAGTACTTAAATAGTAATGAAAACAATCGCGAAAAATTTGCTTGTAAATTACAAGAAATACCCTTGCTTTTAATAATAAAAGTCAAACTTGACATATCAGTGACAACCAGCTGATGTGCGGAATTCCGCGTTGTCGTATTGAATCGAATATTTATTTATTTTGAAATGATGCTAATCGTTGAATATTGTGAAAATTTTAGCTGAGCTGAAAAATTGCTGTGTGGTAAAAATATCGTCTAACGGTAAAGGGGATGAATATGTAAACAATAAATTCAATGGAAATGTTTTTTATTTTATTTTATGCTAGTTATATAATGAAAAGCACATCTGGTATTGTGCTGATGAATATCCTATACCAAATTTTGTAATATGGAACGTAAATCGTTGCAAACTAAAGACTAAAAATCAATTTTGAATAATATCTTAGATGTTTTTCCCACTAACCTTTTAAACTTAGTATTAGTATTCCTGATATTATCTTCATACCCTCGCATAAATTTCGCTCCAGAAGCTCATTGACCATAATGTAGGATAAAAACATTCATATACAAAAACAAAACAATTTAAAACATTACAACTTCTTCAGGCAGTAACAGTATGTACGGTCGTTTACATTTGGTATGTGCATTATAGAGATCACTGATCCAGTGTTGAAAGATCAAATTTAAATCGCTTATAACTTGTAGATTGGAAATGTATATTTCACTCGAGCATAACGAGGAAAATGACAGTGTAAGATAACTAAATGAAATTATTAACTCAATAATAACTAAATGAAATATTTATCCTTTTATTGTTTTGTGAAAAGATATTTTTTTGATTGTGGGGTTTTCACTGAAACGCAAATTTTACAAAAGTATTATCATCAAGCTCAAGAGACTAATCAAGTTTTTAAGTTGATGAACTTATATTTTTCAGTAGCAAATTCAAAAAAAACTTTGCTATCATTTGACACCCGCCTTACAGAATGACTGAAGAACTAGAGTAAGCAAAAAATATTTATAAATTAAATTATAAGTAGATTACGAGTATATTAAGAGCATGAAAAGATATTAAGAGTATAAAGTATACGTTCTTTTAGTAATTAATATACATATATACATACTTTTGGTTTGATTCCGCAATAACTTCCGTCCAATAAAACGTATGCTATCAAAAAATCCTTAAATTTTTGAAAATCATCTTAAAAAATCGTTTTATTTTCAATAAAAAAAAGTATCTAGGACTAGACAGTAGAAAAGTTGTGCAATGCGAGAGTTGCAAAGGTTTTGAACTGTAACAGAATTGGTCAAAAATTTATTATACTGGACTTATATGTAGTTTATAGTCAGATACAACTCAATAAACATTTTTTTTTTAATTAACACAACACATTTTTAAATAAGCTTTTATTGTTTCACTTTTTTTTCGTTTAATGCAAGAGGTAATGAATTTTTTATATCTTAACATTTTAAATTATTTTCTTTGGTTGAAAATTTTAGGTTACGAAGTTATTTCAAATTAGTGTTGAGTTAGATTTTTTCATCTTCGAAAAAATCATTTTCACAATGGCAACGCCGATTTTATCTTTATATTTACGCTTTCGAAGTTTTTCAACTTTTTCGATGTAAACAAACGAAGTAACAACAAATTATAGGCATTTGTGTTTCGAGCATGTACAGAAAATAACAAAAAAGATACAGCAACTAAACGAATTTAACTAATAAAGCGACAGCAAAATTCATCACAAGCAGCAATAAAAAAAAACTATAAACTCAAATTGTTTAAGAAACCTGTTTTCACGTCAAAGGTGATGTTAGTCAGCTCCACTAAATCGGATATGCTCTATGCACACAGTAGTGTTTAGCTTGATTGACAGTCACAGAAAGAAGAACTAAGCAGAGCGATGGTGAGGGCCTAGTAGCAGATGTTTCAAAGTGAAAAATTAAACTTCACTCAGTGCAATTCTATTGAGAAAGCATAAAGAACAGCCGGCGGTAAAGTCACGCATAACAGCAGCAATCGGTTATATGCAACAGCTGGTCAAGGAAACCGGCTTTTTGTGCACAGTAACCTTGGCGGATTGACATTCACCTGTATGGATCGTGTACCGTTTTAAATAAACAATGCCTTGCTGCAAGTTCAATTTAAAGTAATAGTAAAAGTTGGCGTGGCAAACAAGTCGCTGCATTTATTTCGAATGTACTTAATTAGGAAAGTTATATAAAAAACAAGCTGTGAAAAATGTATCTCAAATATCTTATAATACTCAAGCTTCTAAGTCAACTCACGTATTCGTGTGTAAATGCCGAGTTTTCACCCGGATCTATGCAGCATACACCAATACCTTTGCCAAATTTACCAGCAGCTCACTTAATACGCTACCTTAATACGTTCCCGCAAGTACGTGAATATTGTGTCAAAAATGAAGATTGTCTACGTATAATTAGTAGTAACGCCACCTCCAATAGCTTAAATGACGAATTGATACCCACATTAGACACCTTAACCGCATGTTGGGGTCATGAACTTGACTGTGATGTGAATAAACGATTTCAGACGCCCACTTGCCCGGGCGAACACCACGGTTGGGTGCAAAGCAAAACTGCACAAGTGAATACATTCTACAATCAAGCCGATTTTGGTTATATACAAAATCAAATCAACGAATTGTCACTTATATGTGAGCCGCATTATATAACTGACTCCTCGCTAGAATGTAGCAAATATCTGCGCTTTTGTCGCGGCCGCAATTTGCTCTTTGACTTTCGCGACCTAGCGCAACGAAAGGAATTAATCCGTTATCACATGGATGTGCTGAAACCACAACAGCTGTTAGGACATTGCCAGTTCAATCGTACACGTTTAGAGGCCGAATTGGACCATATGGGTGCACTACAGTCTTGGGCGCCAGAATTACGAAATTTCGATGTTTTACCAACATCACTAATGGCAAGTGGTGCGTGTGATTTAGTCGTTGATACGCCCACATTTATTATGAAAATCGATGCTACTTATAATATGTATCATCATTTCTGCGATTTTTTCAATTTATACGCGTCGCTTTTCGTAAATCAATCACATCCGTTAGCGTTTCATACAGACTCCCGCATTTTGATATGGGAAACATATCCTTACGATTCGCCATTTTCTGAGACATTCAAGGCATTTTCCGACAATCCTGTATGGACATTAAATGATTTTAAGGGAAAACGTGTATGCTTTCGGAATGTGGTGTTGCCTTTATTACCACGTATGATATTTGGTCTGTTCTATAACACGCCGCTGGTGAGTTGTTGCTATTTTCTGATTTTAACTTTTTTTTTTACTATAACAGGAATAAATATTTTCAGATTCATGGTTGTCAAGGCAGTGGTCTATTTCGTGCTTTCTCCGAGTTCATTTTGCATCGTTTACAAATACCTTTCCGTCCACCCAGACCACAAACTAAATTACGTATTACATTCCTATCACGTCGCACAAAATATAGACAAGTTCTAAATGAGGATCAGTTGCTCGAAGAAATCGGTGGGAACAGTAGCTACCACGTGCAACGTATTTCGTTTGAAAGGTTTTTTTTAAACATTATTAATTATGGCATTATCTAACTATGCATGTATATTTCCAGGGGTCTTTCCTTCAGTCAGCAATTGGCTATAACGCGGAACACAGATATACTTATAGGCATGCATGGTGCTGGTCTAACCCACCTGCTTTTCTTGCCTAATTGGGCTACAATTTTTGAGTTGTATAATTGTGAAGACCCTAATTGTTATAAAGACTTGGCGCGCCTGCGTGGCGTTAACTATATTACATGGGAACGTGAAGAACTACTCTATCCGCAGGATGAAGGTCATCATCCGCAGGGTGGCGCTCATGCAAAATTCACAAATTATCGTTTTGATACTAAAGAATTTACACGACTTGTGACAAAAGCAGCCGATCTAGTATATACACACAATGAGTACCAGAAATTTCAGACACAGAAAAATGACAAGCCCGAACAGATTTTGCCGTCAAAGGAAGAGCTGTAGAAAAGTCTTATTTATGCAGTATTTTCAAATTTAAGTTATGTGATCTTGAATAAAATATAAGTCGTAAAATAATATATATTTTATATTATTTTGTAATTTACTTTTATTTAAGCTATACTTTTTATCTGACTTTTTATTATTATAATAAAAAATTTTTAAATTTATTATATACGTAGTAAAGGGTAACACTATTTTTGTTTTTACAAATCGGTAGTTGCTTTTTACACATTTTGTTTACATATTTAAATTCTGTAAGCAGTAAGAAAACCCAGACATAAATATGTGTGTGTGACAGAAAAGGTGTTTTAGTCAACGTGATGGAACAGTTAATTATCATCGTATGACAGGAAGTGGGCTCAAAAAATAAGCAGAAATCATGGCTCCTGGGATAATGATGAAAACTTAGTTCCAGCATGGAATGATGAAAATGCATTTCTTCCGGTTGAAGACTACGATTCTATTCCGTGTTATATGCATTGTATAAGATTTATAAAACCAAGGCAGAAAAACGTTGGTACATTACAAGTGGCCGCCGACCATTCACTTTGTCCTTAAATCGGGCTACAATCTACTTGATAAGAGCGCTTTGTATATTAGCTGAGGATTTTCAAAGTTTCCCAAAATATTTTCAAATGACGCATGGATATAGTGTTGGCTTAAAGGATGATCTAGCCGGATTTTATGTTTTTACAATACATATACAGACAGACGGACATCGCTAAATCGACTAAGTTCATTATGCTGATAATTTATAAACATATATATAATATATTATATATGGTGTCATATATTGGTTTCAAGGCAAACCTAATATTTCCTGTTCAGAGTATAAAAAAGTGAATTAAAAGCAGACATGTTAACAAGGGTAAGATAAACCTATAAGAATGCTAACGTCTGCAATTGTTGCAAATTAAAATTGATATAAATTCATTAATTTAAATGCAAACGAAATTCAGTTAATTTAAATTCTCGACATTTCCGAGCAAATAATCGTTTGCGTCTGGCAATACCTGAGCAGTGTTGTTAAACGACACTTCGTCAGTGCCAAATTTTTCAAACAAAAGTGAGGTGTGTTTGCTGGAAATTTATAGCGAGATACGAAATTCGTCTTATATTAGCATTAGCAGTTTGGGAAAATAAACTTTTAGGATTTGGATTAAACTTGGTTTATTGGAAAAGAGTAATATAAATATTTACATATTAATATTGGTAAGCAAAGTTTAAAAATGTCTGGTTCATGTATGTAGTTAGTTTTCAATTAATTATTATATTCCAATATTATAAAATTAATTATTTATCCCAAGATTTAATACAACTAGCAAGCAAATTGAAGAAATACATATGAATATAACATGCAGAGCTAATTGTACACGATTTTGTGAAAATCACCACAGACTGTGTTGTATTATCAGCAAAAAATTTGTTTGTTGCACACTGCTCATCAGCTGTATTTATTTACATTTGGGAAATGGGATTCTTTTGAGCTGTTGGGCTGGTCATTATATTATTGCAAATTTGTTGTTTAATATCGTTAACTTTCATAAAAAAAATATGTTAATCTGAATTGTTTGTTATACGATTCTACAGCAACATCAAAATTGTTTGTGTGAAAATATATCGAAGTAAACTAACAGTTTATTATCACTAAACAACATGGCACACATTGAAAGAGCAGGCAGTGAGTTCTGCGCTATTGGCGCGCCAGAACCACAGTGCCTTTTATCGAAGAAACAACAATTTTTAAATATGATACACAACGACATTTATATGGATTCAATATTAATTAAACAACTCACTGGAAAACATAAAATACCATATTGGGAAACATTTTACAATGTAATATTCATTCTATGTACGATTATGCCGGTTGTATTCTTCTTTGCGATGGCGCGCATTGCCTGCCAACAGTTGGAAAAGAAAACGTCTGTCAATTTTGTCGGGAAATTTATAATCGAATATGTAATAATTGTTATACCCACAGTGTTATTTGTAAATGTGCTCAATGATTATGTTGGTTATGTGTTGTTGGTTTTCTGCCTCTACGTTTCAGTGACATTATATCGTAATTATAAAATAGAAACACTTCAAAATCAGTGGTACAATTTAGGTGGCAGCCGATCATACGTTTTGACCTTAGTCCGTGCAATTATAAATTTGCTTACAGCGCTTTGTATATTGGCAGTTGATTTTACTTGCTTTCCGAAAGATTTTCGAAAAACACGTCGTTATGGTGCTGGACTTATGGACGTTGGTATTGGATTATTTGTTTTCGCAATGGGTGCCGTATCGCGACCACCAAAGAAAACTGCAGACTTTAAACGTGTTATATTCACTGTATTGCCGTTACTCTTTTTGGGTCTTTCGCGTACTATTATTATTATACATATAAATTATAATCAAGATGAACACGAATATGGACAACATTTGAATGCCTTCTTTACATTGGGGCTCACTAAGTTGTTGGGTTCCTCAGTTAGTGGCCTTATGGATAGTGGCTCGGCACATGTAGCCGCCGGTGCGGGTAAGCAATACATTAGCGCAAATTTTACTATACATATGAACTAAAAAAAATTTATTTGTTTATTACAGTAATCGCAATCATACACGAATTTTGTCTTCAGTTTTATATATCCGAATTTGTTATGGACGCAAATATCCCACGAGACACTTTTGTACCAGCGAATCGTGAAGGAATTTTCTCACTTCCCGGTTTCGTTGCTATATATTTGATATCAATTGTGATTGGTCAAGCGCTTCGAGTTAGCGACGGTCTTGTGAGCTATAAAATACTGCTAAATAAATTAAAAGCGTTTGGCATAGTGAGCATTGGACTTTGGCTGATTGTAATTAGCTGTATATTTACTATATCGATTGCGCGTGTCACCTGCAATTTGGGCTATATAGTATGGATTTTGGCCATAACGCTAACTATGATTTTTATTTCTATGATAGTATTTCATTTGGTTTTAAATATAAGTTGGTCAACTAGGGACAGTAAGACAACAGACGAGACTTCTACACCAATCGTGCCATTACTAGGATCTGCAGTAACTGCGCGTACAAATGTACTACCCACGCTGGTGGAAGCAGTAAATAAAAACGGTCTAACATTTTTCCTATTAGCTAACGTGCTAACGGGTTTTGTAAATATGTTTTTAAAGCCAAGTGAAAAAAATGATAACGAGAGTATTTTTATATTAATAATGTATATGCTGATATCGATCGGATTCGTTCAACTACTATATCGTTTTAATATTCGATTAGCATAACAATTTAGATATCGTGCACAAACAAGAAAAACTCATTCAGTATATTAAATAAAATTGTGTTATATTAACATGTATAAATATGTGTGTCTGTGAACAAAGTTGTGGCTGTTGATATATGCAATTTAAAAAAAATCCTTTTGTATATTGTATTTAGTGGCATAAAATAGCAATATTGAAAAGCTAATATTCTATTTAAACTATTAAATAATAATAAAGTTGTAAAACAATAAGCTTTCGCATATTTAAACCACGCTGTGCCCTACTAATACTAAGCTGCGTACATTTTTATTTTTGAATGTGCATATTGCGTTGCCCTTATGGACTCCCTCAAGAAGCTGCTTTAGGTATACATTTTCATTGCACTCCAGTTTTGTTTAGCTAGGAATGTCAAATATAATCATAAGAGCTGTATACTATAAAAGTTTGATTACTTCAGTACTGAAATATTTAAATAATTATGCATTTTAAATTAAAAGAAGAACAGTTGGTGCTTTTTGGGTCGATAATAATTGTTTTTTTTTCTCTGCCTTCATGAAGTTATTTAGTTTAATATAGCACTTTATGGTAACGGTATTTATTGTTTGTAAGTTTATCACCAAACTCTAGGTAATCCCTCTATATAACTTTCATTAGTTCATTATCTACCCAAGCATGTATTACATAGCTGGTTTTTGAAAGAAATGCAATAAAATTTATGATATTGATTATAATGATACCAACCAATTGATTTAGTGATAGAATGATAAGAGCAAATAACTTGCTACCTTCGATGAAATACATTTGGTTTGTAGAATACCATTTGGAATTTTTCATAATTATAATAAATATACGTACACATGTACATGTATGTGTGTATTTGAGTCTGCAAGTGTATTTAAGAACTAAACTAATTTCAAGTAATGACCAGCCTTTTATTATTTTGTGTGTGTAAATATCATTCTTGTATACTTCTTGAATTCAATATAAAATCTACCTTAATCTTATAAGTAGATTGGGCACGTAAATTTTTGTTATCTGAAATCTTATAGATACCGACAAATGATAATTAAAACAAGAAAATCGTACAGTGTGGCTGCACCGAAGCTATAATACCCTTCACAGGTGCATTTCTTATAGCATAACAAGATGAAAAAAGGACTTAATCCTGCTTTTGATCGGTCATTTTGCACGGCAGCATTATAGCATATACTTGTAGATCCGAACTGAACGATTTGCTGACGATATCTTATCAAATAAAAAAGTTTTCCGCACCAAAACTTGATTTTGATCGTTCAGTTTGTATGACAGCTATATGCTATAGTGCTTGAATATCGGCGGTTCCGACAAATGAGCAGCTTCTTGGGAGAAATGGATGTGTGCAAAGTTTCAGATTGATATCTTAAAAACTGACAGACTTGGTTGGTTATATACAGCTGGACATAGCTAAAGCGACTTAGCACATCAAGCTGATCATTTACATATATACTTTCTAGGGTCGCTCGAGTTTCCTTTTGGGTGTTACATACGTTGTGACAAACTTATACCCTGTTCAGGGTATGAAAATGTATAGCCCCTAAATAATAGTGAAACATTATGGCTAATTTAGTTTGTTGTTGTTTTAGATAAATAAAATTTTAATAAAATGGAGAATGTTGTTGTTAATTTTACGAAAATCGAGTACCTACCGTTTTTGTAGAACGAACCTTTGAGATAATGGTACACGCAAATAGAGCTAATTCCCCACTATTTTTATATAATTTATGTACCACCTACCTCTGGGTTGTTTTCATCGCGGGTATACACTAAATACATTTGTATAACTAATTGAACTTTCATCATTTATTACTACCGAAACTTATTCAAGACCAGTACTCGCAAAAGGCAACACACAAAACAGGACATAATTTAAGAGACCGAACAAGATGCTTATAGAAAAAAAAAAACATATTGTATAAATAGCACAAAGAAATTTTTGTGTAAGAAAACGGTACTCAGTTGGAGCGTTCACTCCATGCTTTCTTAATCTTCCAACGCTGATCACCCAGCACCACTTGTAAAGCATCCATATAATCGCATTCCCGAAATGGGATCTCATGCACCACACGTCCGAAACTATCCGATATATAGAGCGTATGCTCATCGTCCGCTTTGGAGTTGTAAGACACGTCTTCAGTGTTTGCTTCCACAAATACTTTGGGATCCCTTAGCGGTAGCGGTTGTTGTCTCATTATGCTGCCCTCGCAGCGATATCTCGTTTGATGTGGCTTTTGTTGTGTCAACAGTTGCTCTTGCTGTTGACGTTGTTTTTGTGCTTTATGATACTTTTGTTGCAATTCCAATTGCAGTTGCTTCGTACGTTGGCTTTGGTGTTGCTTATGTGTTCTTAGGCGTTGTTCGCGCTGTTCATCGGGATCTTCATCGACAGCTGTAGTTGAGGAGTTCGAACGGAAGTTGGAACGTATTTGCATGCATGTGCGCAGCTGTGACGGTTCCGAGTCTAAGAATTGTTCGAAAAAGCGGCTGCGTGTCGTGAAATTGCCCGTTGCTGAGAAGGCAGACGATGTGGACTTTTCCGGACGACTACCCATAAATTCGATGTGCTCCTTGATGTTGGCGACCTCAAGTAATTTAATTCTCCTCTCGGAACGGTATATTTTTGACATGCGATACAACAACAATACTACATACAAATTTAATAGAAAAATTATGGTCCAGAAGATTTGCGTTAAATTTTGAAGATTCAATTCTATTAACATTATTTTTCTCTGAAGATTTTTTTTTTTTAACAAATTACTTTATATTTGGCATTTAATACTAATGTGAAAAGCAAGGTCTACGTTGCCAAGCGAAGAAATCTCGGTTTAATATTATATTAATTATCAAAGTCGTATATTGAAAACATTTCCGTCTATTTGTTTTGTCATTGCTTGTTTTCATATTTGGGAGTATGGTGTTGCCAGCGAAAGAAGCTTTTTCGAAAATAACGTCTTTTATTTGCTAAAATTTGTTTTAAATCTAAAAGTCATAAAAGCTTTTGGTTTCGGTGGAGCTTGCAAAACAGAGCTTTCGCCAAAAGCCTAAAAAAGTTATACGAGTAAGCTTTTCATCGAAAGCTTTTATAAGCCATAAAGCTGTTGATTGCGCAGGAGCTTGCAAAACAGAGCTTTCGCCAAAAGCCTAAAAAAGTTATACAAGTAAGCTTTTCATCGAAAGCTTTTTTAAGCATTTGATTCTAACTATATTTTTTGTAACCGTTACCTTCATTACATTACTACACACGGTTAAACAATACCAAACACCAATAAAGAATTGCTAAATATGTCAATCGCGTTCAAAGCTTTTAGCGTAACGGAATTGAGTTCTAGAAAAATAAAGCTTTAAGGAACAGTACTCAGCAAATTAAATTTCCAGCTGATTGCCGAATGAATGTTTGGAACTGGCAGTCGTGGATTACATATAAATACAATGCGCTGTCGTTATATATACTGGACTGTCTTGGGGACCGAGTGGCATCCTGGAATAAAAACGTGCGCAGAAGTAAGAGAAATTTGGACTATTCAAAAGTATGTCTAAAAACGATAAGGATTAAGATAGACATACAAGCCTTGGTAACAAGTTTCAGAGAGGTTAGGTAATAATAGATATCTAAAAGTCTGGTTGGACGTGAACTGCTGAGAGTCAACGAATGAGTTTTGAAACTTTTTTTATATCAATAAAACGATACGGAGTTAATAATTACTTACCATATAGCAAGTAGAAATCACAAACTATAATAGCTAGCGAAATTATTCAATATCTCTTATTATTGTAGAAAAGAACACACGGGACTATTGATTAACCGAGCTTCATGACGACACTCTGCAAAGTAAACACATTCACTTTACATTCAACAATCTTTTTCCCTGTTAAGCAAAATCGGTTTTCTACTAAAATAGAAAATCATCTTTGTTTTATCGACCAGATTTTGATGTTTTCTGCCGACCAGCCTGCTGTCAAATGTCACATTCCTTTTGGGATACAAAATTTCGTCAAAATTATTTTCACAACATATATTAAAATGTGTTAAGATCTTCCAAATTTTATAACTGCATATAAGAACGGAACCGTAATCACTACCACTTAGCTGAGACCATCTGAACGAACATAAATATTTTAATAGTCAAAATTTTCAAAGTATTGCCGTCGAAACTCGAATTTATTTAAGTTTTATATGGCTCAAGGGAATCTTGAGAATCTATGCACAGCTTTATGTGCGGCAGAAGACCCAGTGCCCGCTTATCCACTGATAGCGCGTACATTAAAAAAGAATTCACCGCCAGCCTGTGACGCCTTCGGACCATTTCCCGATGAGACAATTGTATCGGGTATCGATCGTGCGCTCTATCTAATGGGTGCACGACGCGTACAGGAGTTTCTACACTTGCCCACACCATCCCTGGACTCGAGCAATAGCGATATTTCGCTTACCGTATCACAGGTTTCTTGCCCGAACTCACATAAACCGTGTCGCAAATGTAGTACGGTAATAACGTCGGGTAAGATGTTCGAAGTATGCGTGGTTATGTTACGCAATTAGCTACTTTTAACTCGCCCACAGATAGCAAGAACAAAAATAAATTGCCAAGTTGTTTGAAAGTGACCAAAACCTGCACTTGTCCCAAATGTCGCGCCAGCACTGCACAAACGATGACTTTCTCTAAAAAGCCCTGCTGTTGTTGTAGCAGCTCGTCGGCACGCTCGTCGAAAAGTAGCTTAGCATCGCATGTACAAATCTGTGAACCACCCAAGTCAATGAATCCCCTGAAACGTTCATTTTCGATGTGCTCACTGGCCTGCCGAAAGTTAAAACAAATGTTGAGCTTTCCATCAAGCGATGGCCAGAAGGCAAAATGGTTGTGGGCACGCCTACATTCCACAGAGAACGGCTGTCAAGTCTATGAGATATTCAAAAACTCCAATGTGTGCACACATCCGTCGGAGTTTGAGAAGCAACGGATGCCACATGTCATCTTCGTCGTACTGCAAAATGGCGCTATAATGCCATTCGAAATTTTGCCCTCCCACTAACGTAGTAAGCGAAAAGGAGTGAGAAAGTAAGAAAACGAGAAATCCGGCGGATTTTATATGTCCACCATATAAGTATGTAGCGTTTCGGTATTTATGCCAACTTTTTACTATGTTAAAAACTAAAAAAACAAAACTTAAAAATATATACAAATAATGTACTTGTACTTTTAAGAAAGTTAGAAGTGTATTTTCTGGCTTTCGAGACCTTAAGTATGAGACCATATTAGTATTACGGCAAAGGTTTAGCACAATAGACTAACGAATGTTAAGTAATTTTAGATGAACCAGGAATCATGAAAGTTCGGCTCAATTTTCTGCTAAAATTTTGCATTTCCCGTGTTCCTTAGATCATTGATATACTATATGTTGATTCTATTGATCTTCGAGCCATGCAACCATCAGATATCTGAGTAATAAATTAATATAAGGGAAAAGTTATTTTTCGATTCAAATTGTTGGCTCAGTGGTGTTCGACCACATTTTCACATTATCAGGATAATCCTCAATAGATAAGTTAGTTCCATTACCTTTACTGTGTTAGGCTGTAACATATTTTTATTCTTTTTGTAAAACCTGAAGAATTGAATCCTTATGAACTGAATATATAATATAATATGAAGCGTGAATGAAGGCGTTGGATTGAGCGGATTGGGTTTAACATCCCACAGTGTAACTACTCCATAAATAAGTAAGAAGCGTATGGAAGGTATAGAAATTGTCTCAAAAGCTTTTAATGAGAATCAAGGCTGGACATTCTGTAACAAATTTCCACGACAGCTCAAGTGATACTAAAAAACGCACATTCTCACATATTTCTAAAATTCAAAAAATTTGCAATATTAACCGAAAATATAAATCGTTTTAATTTTAAAGTAAGGCACGGGCTACATATAATGGAAGAAATATTGTCGGAGCTCGAGAACCAGAGTAATCAACTGCTTAAAATAGAATCATGCTTTTAGTTAATGATTTCAGAGTACTGGGGTATTTAAAATCATCTACAGAAATGTAAAAACACGAAATTTTTTACACTAGCATTTTCAAATTCTGAAATTTCAGGATTAGTTAACCTGAAGTTTAAATTCAAATATCTCAAAGACGTATAAGTATCCTGCGGCTGTATATGCATATATTCGTCAGCTGGGGAACCGCCGCTATCCACCTATCCCATTAACCATTTACCCCCGAATTCAGGTATTACTATTCTAAAATTTCGAGATTTCGGTATTACTTAACCTCAACATACAAGCAATAAACTAAAATCTCGGAACATTTTCTTCAAGCGCTAAAAGAGCTTTTATAAAACGCCAAATAACGGTATTGAGAAAGATAAGTTGACTATAATTTCCTAATCCTTTACTACTGTTTACCTTCAACTACTATTTTACTAGTTACATATACTCATTAGTAACACACAACAATCGCTATTGCGCAAGCGTTTCCCTTCAAGCATTCAGTCGAAAAAAAAATTCTAAACTATAGAAGACATGGGAAAGGTTTTCAATGATCAAATTATAAAAATTTTATGTGCAAAAAATTTCAATAAAGTTCAAAATGAAGTTGGCGAACCGAATTTGAAAGAGAAGTGTTCGTGTCTGCGACGTGGCGAGAGTTACGTCGTCTTTCTGGATCGTGATCATCGCAAACAATTGCAACAACAAATGGGTGGTAAGGATTTCAAATTGGCTGCGACGGAGCAATCACTCTGCAAGCTCGGTCCAACACCGGCCAGCATGAATATGAGTGCGACTAATGGTGGCGATGAGAATTGGTTGAAACGCACGCTCAGCCTAAAACGTGCTACGGGTGGCAGTAGCAATACGGGCAGTCTGAAAACGCAAATTTGTGAGAGCATAAGCTCGTTGCTACCGAAGCGTGTGGTGGACATGTTGACACCGCGCATGCGCAGCAATGAAAATGAGCGCATAACGCCTTCGGTGTTCGGGCCATTTCTCGATGAGCCGGTGTGCGGATTTATCGATCGTTTATTCTATTGTATTTGTATGATGTTCGGCATGGAAATGGAGGCGCAGGAGCCGTGTGTGGATGTGCGTGCCTGAGGTGGTTAACTGTGCATTAAAGAGTTTGTAGCGTCGATATTGTGGAATTATTGATTGGATGGCTCGTGACATTACGAAATTGTGTGAATTTTTTTCGAAATAAATTTTCGTAAAGAAAGTTAAACTCTGTGTTTTTTTCGCAGTGAAAAAGTTGGGTTAGAAAGCTTAAAGTTCATGTCGATGTCCACTGATTTAAGTTAGCTTTTCTCCATAGTTTCTGCTATAATTTTTTTTTCTTAATCACCATTCTTTTCACACAATTTTATGCCCTTTCTCGTCCTACTTTCACCTGCTTCGGATACCACGGCGAAGATAAGATTTATATTAAGGAAATGACAAAAATTACTGCTATTGTCCTGTCGGATTTGCGCTCTAAGGCAAGGCAAACAGCAAAGGTTAAGGTTAAACCAAAAGGAAGCGCAAAGAAGGATATTCAATTTCCCAGCGAGGTAGTGTGTGGCAGCTTATAGCGTACACTGGCATGTGGAGACAGTGAATAGTCTATTGAATAAAGTGCGTATGAGGGGAAAAAAGAAGCGGATTAGGCGTAAATGACCATTGAAGATGTTTAATTCACACTTTTGTCGCATTTTTCTCTTCATTTATTTTATTTATTTCGCTTTCGCTTCTTCTATCTCAAATGTAATCACAGCATAGGCCAAGCCAATGAACAATTCAAACAATGGTCGCTTTGCTTTAACTACACCCAGCTGCCTTAAACTCCTTGATTGACTTGCTTAAGTGGGCGGGGCGTTAGGTAAGTAGCTCACATTTGCTGGATTCTATTTATGAAGTCTTAAATTTGCATCACGACTGTATAACAAGCGGATTCCAGAGACGACTTCGCCTATGTTTCATATCCTGCAAATGGCTGATGAAATCTGTATTAAAAATCTTCAATTATTTGTCTTCAAATGTCTTTGAATTTCTATGAATACGGTTTTATGGGTTACTTCCTTTATTCCCCTGAAATTTGTGCCATCATTATAAATGAGTTGCGTACAAACAATAATTTTATCTGATTTCGTATGAAATGCAATTTCCGTAAATATTTTCACCTAACCGAAGGCAACATCCAAGCATGCAATATGGAGGAATTGTTCGTTGGGAATTGTTCGTTTCGTCGAGAGGGTGGTTCAAAAAATTTCAAATTTAATAAATGGGAGGTATATAAATATTTTAACTTATGAAAAACCTCGAAAATTTTAGTTTGGGAACACAGAGAACGTAATTTTTTCTCGTTTTTGGATGTATGCTGAAGTATAGCAGTTTCTTCGGCGGCCCTTCCAGTAACAATAATAACTTCGATAAGATGATATTCAGAGTTAATATTTTTGAATTGTGCACACGCATAGGCCATTAGCAGAATGACTTCTGCATCTAGAGACATGCTTAGGGACGGTGCTTATGGTGGCATTTGGTACTGCAATCACCCATGTTTCGAAACCCAATGAAGTGGATTAGTTTCTAACTGTTACCGCATATTCTGTTATAGACAGGTGAGAGGGCGTGGTTACGTAAGATTCAGAAAAATTTTCCGGATAGTTGCATGATAGTACATCCCTCCGTTTTCATTTTAGTCTGGTTAGTGCAAAACAGTTTGGGGACTGCTTTATGTTGCTACAGTAACAAAAGCAACATCTTACTACAAACCTTTCTTTCAACTTCTTTTCTTCCACGGTCAGGTTATTTCAACTATTATTACGAAGCTAAAAACATAGGGTACCTTAGGGTGTAATGCCAATACGAAGGTCAAAACTTTTGTCTCTTAAAGTATTGGGCATCTCAGACGCAGTTCACAGAGCGCTTAGAACATTGATCGTTGTTTTGAACTGAGTGTGATGTGGTAACTCTCTCTCCGCTTAAGGGTTGCTTCTTGTTACTCTAACTCTTTAGCAATTTTTGAATCTCTAATTGTTAACTGTTGTTTATACTAGTAAACAAAAAAAAAAAACGATTTAGAGTTCAGAAATCGCGACCAGTTCATAGCCGTTTCTGATTACCGATCCTCTAGATGTTTTTCATAAATATACAGAGAGGTTCAACAATTCATTTGAAACCACTTTTTCAGACACCACATTTCAAACTTTGCAGATGTTTCTTTGGGTTTGATAATAAATTAAAAAAATTCGTAGTACTTTTCGCTTCACCCGCAGCACACATCTCTACATACCCACCAACGTGGTAATATACAGAAGAAAGAGTGCGAGCGGCAGCAACCCTTTTGCGTGACACACCACCTCAAACGTTGTCGCACTTCGGTACACACACTACATTCCCCTCTCCATTCGGTTGTTCTGTGGTGCAGGGCCAACATACATAATTCCCCACCCGCGGAAGCAAAGTGACGATTTATATTGAGTTAATAGAAAAAGTCACAGATACGTAATCATATTCATTAACTTATTGTCGTGTGTTGTGTAAGCGAATTTATGCCTAACAACTCCTACTTGTTGTTGTTGCCATTGCTAGCTTTTGGAAACTAAGCAGCAATTTTGTTTAACGCTCTTTACAATATTTTACGCTTTTCGGGTATGAGTTAGGTAACTTTGTACTTTGTGTTATTGTTGTTGTTTGCTCGTACTGCTTTTCGTATATTTGGTTACGCCCACCTGTTCCCCGCTTTTAGACAACTCAATAAATGCGCTGAAAGCGTATACAGCCAACGCCTGTGTGGTAGGTAGTCAAGGAGTGGGTCGGAGGTGGAGGTAGCGAAATGAGGTATTTTTGTTGGACTTTTCACTTTGATGACAGATTATTTTCATTACCACAGCGGCGAGCATACACACACACACACATAGGGAAAATATTTGTGTATAAATACCTATCAGTAAATCTGGCGTGCGTCCAGCGCTGTCAGCGTGTATTTGGCCGTTTCTCAGCTGATGGTTGCTAATGATAAGCGGAAATGCCTTGTGTCAGTTGTGGATGCAGCAGCGAAATGCAACCCTGTGTTGTCTTTTTTGTGTTAACATATTACCGTTAATTATTATTTTGATGTTTTTAGCTATTATGTATTACATGACAATGAACATAATAGTCGCGGACGAACAAATGGGCAACAGCCTGTTACCACAAATAAATATGAATATGAATACCTAGTAATTACCAGCGA